ATTTTTGTGTGTGGGGGGGGGGGGGGGGGTGTTGTATTTTATTGAATAGTGGCTCTCTGCCATCCTGGAAATGTGTGTTGGTCATTGTGTTTTCATATGTTTTCTGTATTGTGAGGGATTGGAATGTTTCCCTATCTTTAATCTGGTGTAGTAGCCAGTGACAATCTTAAATCTGCTAAGTGGCGTGGCAAGAGGAAGGGGGTGATCTTGTGATAAAGGTATTGAGCTGGAACAAATGAGATTTGGGCTCAAATTCTGACTCTGGTAAAGGCTCCTTGTGTTGCTTTAAATTCATCTGTGAAATGAAGATCTTATTGCTTATCTCCTCTCATCCTTCCTCTAAAGTGCATGTTTAGGGCCTGATCCTGCAAAGATTTATCTAAGTGCTTAACTTCATTCACTATAGTCAAGTAAAGTTAAGCACTTCTGGATACTTTATGGGACTGCATATACTTAAGACATGCTCTGATAGTATCTTCTTCACTGCTTTCTTTAACCCATCTCATCCTATGAAGTTTGCCCATTCTATCCTCTGCTTGTGGCTAATTAGAGATAGAGCACTGCTGTAGCCAGATAAACACGTACATGGTTCTGAGCAGGCTCTGTTGTGGAAATAAATGGTTAGATTTGTATCTGGCTCTGATGCAAGGATCTCTTGATGTCAACTAACAAAGAGATCATGGGTACGGGAATCTCATGGGTTCACCAAAGGAATGTCATATAAACTCCTTACTGAAAGTTTGTGCCACAACTGTCATAACCGTTATGAGGTGTATACACAGAAAATGTGATGTATGCTGAAAATTGTTTGCTAGGTCTATAAATTAAAATAAGGCAGGTCACCAAAAGATGGTTCACATACTCCTGGCAAGCAGGCATGGAGAGACACTTATCTTACTCTGACAGTTCACGTGGAAACTGAGTATTGTATGCTTACAATGAGCACAACTTATCAATACAAGCAAAATACTAATCCATAGAATGCAGGCGCTGGAGGAACAAACAACAGGAGATACCCTATTTGGGGCTAAGATAGAATTTCAAAAGTTCACTATCTGAGATGCAGATGAACCTCTCCATATTCTGTGAAAGCAAGCTGCTAGTGGGCTTAATCTTATGAGACAAGGTCTCAGCCAAACTGAACACACTTAGAAAAGACCAGGGAAGACCTGTTTTGTAGGAGATGGGGGAATCCATCATTAGTTAAGTTTAGTCTCTAGAAAACATGTCATGGTTTTATTTTATTGGTAATCGTTTGTTTCCAATATTCTCACTATCCATTGAATTTCCATTCTTTGATGATGAACTTGTTTTACTGTTCATTATATGTGTTAAATGGTGTGGTGATGCAGAGTTGAATCTTGCAAGCTGGCATATACCATTCCTGTGAGAGTAACAAACATGAAAGGATCTGTAGCTGTTCAGTGGAACAGGGGCTGGGTACTCCAAAAGGAGGCTAAGAGAACTCTCATCTGCAAATTTGACACCATCAGTTTAGGATTAAACAAAGACTGTGAATGGTTAGCCAAGTACAAAAGCAGTTTCTCCTCTCTTGGTGTTCACACCTCCACATCAGCTGCTAGAAGTGGGCCTCACCCTCCTTGACTGAATTAACCTTTTTATCTCTAGCCTTATTCTGGCCTTCATATTTAAACCTGCCTCTGGAAATTTCCACTACATGCATCTGACGAAGTGGGTCTTTGCCCACGAAAGCTTATGCTTCAATAAATCTGTTAGTCTATATGGTGCCACAGGACTCCTTGTCATTTTTGCAGGGCTGTTGTGTCTATCGTTGACCGGTACAGAGAACACAAGGCTTGCAGATGCCTGGAAGTTAATGCTTATTGTAAGGGGACTGTCACCCCTTACTAAAACTCTGTGGGAGTTTTTTGGTTTACCAGCTTCAGAAGGGGAAGGGTTCATGAGACTGACAGACCCCAGAGACAATGGAAAGCAGTCAACACTCCAGCTCAGCCTGACTGACAGGTTGTAAGTGGGGATTGTTCTGGCTCTGTCTCTGAACAAACAAGCTGTGTGCAGAAGAGGTCCTGCAAAGACAGAGAGCTGAAAGAGGAGTACAAGAAGAAGTCCTGCAGCGACAGAACCAGACACAGACAGGCCAAGCAGTGCAGACCCTGTGTTGAGCAGCAGACTGGCAGTGCTCAGAAAGCCAAAAGGAACAGAGAAACAACACAAGGAGCTGGAACTGGCCAAGCAGCACAGCCTGCAGCTGGATGTGGTGAGCTACTGGGACCTGCAAAGTGTGGGGAAAGGCTCTGGACTGGGAGAGGGGTCTGGCCACTTAGAGACTGAGGCTGTGTGGTCACTGCCAGTGCAAGTGTGTCCAGCCTGCAGCCCCTTGCAGCACATCCAGGGCTTCTAAGGAAGAGACTGTGAACTGTCCTTACACTCTGCAGACTGCTGTGTTGATGTCCCTGTGCTACAGAGCAGGGCTGTGTGTTCTCATTTAACCATTCTCATTGTTTCTTATTCTATTCTCTTTAATCAGTTGATGTTTAATAAATTGTATTTGCTTTGAACCTTATGAAGTGATCACTGGGCCAAGAAGGCCTGCAGTGTAAAGAGAGCACCTCGGAGTGGGGACACCCTAACTCCTGCCCCTAGTGACTACAAGGTCAGGGATTAAGCCCCAGGAAACCTGGGCCCAGCCTTGTTGGGGTTTCAAGGGCTCTGCTACTCAGGAGAGTGGAGGGGGAGCCCTCAGGATCAGGGAGCCGTGGGGTAAAGGAAGTGGGAGCGGGGACTCAGATCCTTTCGCTGGTTCATTTCACCGGGGTGTATAGAAGCCAGGAAAGTTCCCCACAAGAGCGGGACCATTCCCCCGCTTACATTATGTTGCCTGTGGCCAGTGGAGTCTAGGATCTGAACCATATCAGGCACAGACAAGACTTTCTCATCCTTCAGGCAAATATTGGTGAGGGGACTGCAGTGTCCCAAGAAGTGTCATACTCAGGGCTTGACAAATAATACAATCTACTCGCCTATGGCGAGTAGATTGTAACCCGAAAGTGTTGGGTTCGGGCGATCTGCGCATGCACAGATCGCCGGGCAGCATGGCTGGCAAGCAGGGCTTGCCATGGTTCGGTGAGCCCTGGTCATACTGACCAATCTAACTTAAACTAGTATTACAAGATCTACATATGATATTAATGAATAATCATTGGTATCCTAGTCAGTTCTTGTAATACTAATACTTGTAATATTAATGCTAATTATTAGTATTAAGGATGTAAACAGTTGACCGGTAGGGGTGGAGTATCTCTCCATGCACTCAAGGCCTGTGGGGCCACTGCAGGCCAGGGTTGCGCTGGCTGGCTGGAGGAGCACCTGTCCATGGGGGGGCCCAGTGAGGTCCCTCCTCCTGCCCCCAATGCAGGTTATACATTGGGAGGTTTTGCTGTGGGCTCTGCAGTATAAAATTTATATATAAGCTTTACACTGCAGAGCCTACAGCGAATGTAATTGTGTAACTGTTAGGATTTTTAGTAGTT